CCAACACCAATGCATGACCAATGGCCACACCACAGTGTCCACACAAACCAGCAATACCAAACAAGCATGTCACGCACAACACCAAAGCATGACCCATGGGCACAGCACAGTGTCCACACAAACCAGCAATACAGGACTCGCAATCCTCACCTCCCGGCTCAAGGAAACCCTTCACCTCCTCAACACAATCAAAATCATCATTCAACCCGCAGTCCGAGCAATGTCCGCTCTCAACCAGTGAGCCCTCCTGACTCTCGCGACACAAATCATCAGCCACAGCAAAGGTCCCGTCATCCAACCCCACACCAGGGAAAAAGTTCACCTCCTCCACGGAAACTATGTAGCCACGCTTAAACCCGCTAGCTACAATCAGATTTTCTGAGTCTAGGATAGACTCAACCCTATGATGGTTCTCAAACTTTGAGCAACCCGTGTCTTCAATTCTGCAAACTGCAACAATGGGACTACGACCCTCGAAGCTCCACCTGATGTCATTTTCAACTACTTCTACTTTATTGTATTTACGACGCCGTCTTGGGACTGCCTTTGACAAGCCCCCGATTTCCACTTCGCAAACACCTTGACCTGTCCAGGTCCTAACACCTACAAAGTCTCGTGCACAACACAAATCATCATTCTCAACAAAGCGCTGCCGCATAAACCCAAAATCTTCCTGTTGTAGGAAAGCAAAAGAACCCTCTGTTACATTATCAAAGCATCTCTCGTGTGTCATAACACAGCTCTCATGCTGTGCATTATCAAAATCAACAGCGCGTACAGTTTTACAAGTATCATCTTGTACTCCATCAAAAAAAATATATTGTCCAAAATCACACATTACATTTTCATCAACAACATCTACATGGACTCTACTATAAGCATCATGTGGTATGTCATCAGAAATCATATCCTGTACAAAATCCAAATTCACATGTTTAACACGTACAAAATCTGTATCCCGTGCCTCCCCTCTGTTTTCTATTATGGTTACCACCTCACTAGATGCTACAGAGAACTCCGTGTCCCTACACTCTTTTACAATGGCTTGGGATTCCTCTACATAGTTATCCTCTTCCACAAAGTCAGTAATATTTTCAATTAAATCGTTTTCAAAGGCTAATACATGGACTTTACTCTCTTCAACCTCACCTAATGGCCTCCCAGCTTCCCTAACGCCTTCCTCAGTTTCTACCTTATCCCCGTCTGTAAGTTTTCCCCAAGTTTTAAGCTTATTATCCCATCTGAACTTATTCTTCTTAGTTTCTACTTCTGCTCTGTAAAGGCTATCATGTGCTTCCTTCCCTGACCTCTCGCTATACCTATTCTCTCTAGTGTAAGGATTATCACAGTTAATACTAATTATCCCGTCTATTCTAGCGCTATCCCATTCTACTCCCTCACCATCGCCATTGTCACTGTCATAAAATTCTTGACTCCTGATTTTTTCTTTTGTTTCCCCGTTTTGTCTGGCAATGTATTCAAAGTTTACAATGTGGTCGTCCAGTTCCTTGTCGCTGTCGTATTTAGGGAGGCATTTGAGTAAGTGATAGTTTTTGCTGGGTCTTTTTTCGTCACTATTATAATGTTGTGCCGCTTCATTTTTTATTTTGGCCAATTCAATTTCTTTATCTAATTTCTTAAGTTCCTGTTCCCTCTCTTCTACTCTTATCTTTTCTTCTCGCTCTTCCCTTCTTATATTTTCTTCTCGCGCTTCCCTTCTACTTTTTTCTTCTCGCTCTTCTTCTTGTATTTTCCCCCATTGGTCCCTTACATATGTATCTAACTCCGGTCCCGTAAATCTGAGGTACTTTTCTCCCACCTCCCGAATTTCGGCTATTATTTCCGATATGGTTCTCTTAGGTTCCATGTGTAATAATTTACTCCTACAAATGTATATGTTCAAATACTGTACAGCTTTTCTCAATATAAGATAAATATTATAATCTTAAATAACTATAATAATAATACTTATGTACTTAACATGTTACTTAACTGTGCTTGACTTGACCTGTACTTTACCTCGCCATACACAATATAAAAATGTCACAGTTTTAGGTAATAATGTCTAATTGGGCCTACTTTGTTTACCCGGTATCATGCACTGGTGGTAGATGCAGAGGCGCTCCAGTTGTAGGTGCGGCGATGTTCTGGTGGCGGCACAGTTACGATCCGATCGGTGGTGCGGTGATGATCTAGATGATCTGGATGCGGCACAGTGACGATCTGGTCGTAGGTGGTTTGCTTCGTGCCAGGTACAGCGGTGTACAGCAACCAGCGGGATAGAGTTATCAGCGCAGCGCAGCAAACAGCAGGACACAGCAATCAGCGGGACACAGAGGCAGGATACGTCAGCAGCGGTGTACTGCAACAGCGTAGAATACCCACAGGGGTGTACAGCAACAGCGGTGTAAAGTTCGGTGGAACAACCCAATCAGCGGGTCACAGCATTGGACGGTTGCTTCAGCTGGGACAGGAGACACAAGACGAGCACCCCAGACGACTTCGGACAAGCGACACACAGCCTCAGACAGATGTGCCAGGATGCCTCACACAACGGACGGTCGATGTTCACAGCCCCGTGGAAGTTGATACTTACGTGTCGGACAGTGACACACAGCTTCGGGCGGGCGACACACTGGTTCGGGTGGCGACACAAAGCCTCTGGCGGCGACACACAGGTTCGGGCGGAGATTATACTGCCCAGCCCCGGACAGGGATGGTAATTCGGACGGCCTGACACTTCACAGCTTCACACAGGATGATTCTTAACTGCCCTTGATTCGTTCAGACGAGCCCCCAATGTCGCGAAGCGTTTCTTCTGTATGGTCAAGTCTTTCACTGCACTCCGTTCAGCAGCACACCATACACAAACAGTCACCAATGCAACAAACAGCAACCGGTTTGTTGTAAACGAAAGTTTATTTATCACTACTCGATGAACAAGACTTGATGTATAATTTCAGAATTTGATAATAAATCACTCCAACCAAATATTAATCAACATACCAATCCAAACACTTCTGCCAGTATATTCCCCATCAATTCTCTCAGCACAACACTTAACAGTATTCAATCCACAACAGTCAATGTAGCACATCCGCCATCACTCTTCTCTAACCACAACGAAAACTAACGCGTCACTTCCCATTACACAATTACGTCACAACACTCTCACACAAACGATACGGCTGCACATAAAATCTCGAACTAACATCTTTTCCCTATCAAACATGACAACAACGCTCTAAACATAACAACAGTGATTCTCATACCCTCGACAGATGCCTTAGCCAAGGTGAAAATGTCAGTGGCTGTGGAATTAAAAACAAAATCCATTCCTTCTTTGATGTCAATGGCAATAATTATATTTTCTTTTTGCAAAAACTCTAGGCTACTCACAATAGCAACAATTATGGTTTGAAAACGGTCTTTTGATAAAAATACAATAGATCCAAGAGTAAGACACGTTTTCTTTTTAACATTACTTTTTGTCCTATGCCTGTGTTTCAGTTGAAGAACATAGTTACATTTGTGCTCAAGGCTCATCCCAACCACCCTAACGTTGTGAAACAGTCTCAGGGCTTGGTTGTGAAATGCACTGAGATCTTTGCTTTGTCTCATGAGCGTGATGCCCTGTTGAAGATAATAAAAGAAATCTTGCCTCAGCAGCCGAAACTGCACGTCCAAATAATGGTTCGCATCTTTGTATGGGCCATCTGTAACTGCTTTACGAAGAAAAATCTTTGTTGGTGCGGTCAGCTCGGAGACAGATGGAACGATGGGCAAAGAGCGATAACATTCTGGAGGATCTTCGTCATCATTGACAGCGGTAAGACACTTTAGTTGTGATTTGAATTCAGACGCTTTTTTCTTCATGTAAATCTGCTTACCAAGTTTGTCCACGGCCATCATGGATTCTGTCAGGTGTTTGTCTTGTACCAAGGTCTCCATGTGCTTAGCCACAGTTAACATCTGTGCTGAAGTCAGCACACATTTCATAGCGTGTTCGGGGAGCTCGTGACAAATAGTCTTCAATAGCGTGACTGTTGCGAATACAAACTCATGAACATCTCTGGGCGCCATCGTCTCCAGCACGCACAGAATAAACAGTCTCACGTGATCAACGAGAAAACGACTTTTGCCGACCACGTCGAGAACCTTGTGTAGATCAGCCATCTCCTCCCGGGCCGTAGTGGCATGTGCAAGAATCTTGACCAGAAGTAAGACACTGTCTTCTTGTAGCTGATCCTGAGACAGAAATTCTTCGAGGATCTTGCTCAATTTTGAAATTCTGACCACGAGCCTATCAGCGTCATCGATGCAAGACCATTCTTTCAGCCTTTCATGTGACACTCGCCGTGATGAGAAATCTAACACGTGATCTGTGTTGAATGTCTCCATTTCGCTTTTTAGTTTTTCATCAACTTCCGACTCTATTTTATGTGCCATTCTTACATCCGTTACAACCAACCAGTGTATGTTACACGTGTGTTTTGAAACGGTGTTGTGGGTCTTTTGACACCATCATACAAAAAAAAAATTCACAGGAATAATGGATCTGAAAAAAAAAAGATTTTAAGATTTAAAATACCAAGATAACTTTATTTAGAAAAACATTTTTTAGGTTTTTTAGGCATAAAAGAAAAACGTATTTCTTAGAATCGAAGGTCTATTTACTGTGGACGTTGGTCCATATATACAAATATAAAGAAGTTAGGAATATTTGTTTATTATTTATACATACAGGACGTTACCCAGCGTCAATAAATGGAACGCTTAAAATGTTTGAGGATAGCGGTACAACTTGTTTACAAAATTGACGACTTATATTTTTTTAGTTATTGAATGATAGAGGCCGTGGACAAGTATCAGAACTATGAAAGGCACACAAGTCTAAGCACAGAGACTTTAATTATAAGCATAATGTCTTTAAATCTAAGCTCATAGACTCAAAGTCTAAGTTCACTGAATTTAAGTCTAAGCACAAATACTCAAAAACTAAGTCCCCCGACTTCAAATTTAAGCAAACAGATTCTAGACCTAAGCACATTTATTCCAGTCAAAGCACACACATTCCAGTCTAAGTCTAAGCGGACACATTCCAGTCTAAGTCTAAGCACACACATTCCAGTCTCAGCCCACACATTCCAGTCTAAGTCTAAGCACACACATTCCAGTCTAAGTCTAAGCGCACACATTCCAGTCTAAATCTAAGCACACACATTCCAGTCTAAGTCTAAGCCAACACATTCCAGTCTAAGTCTAAGCCCACACATTCCAGTCTAAGTCTAAGCGCAACGTTTTCACATGCGGTCGTGACGAAAAGCTCATATATATTTTATTGATTTTGTTGGTCCCCTCAGCTGTGCCGTGGGCTTTTTGGATGCCTCTTTTGGATGCCTCTTATCACTTTTGGATGCCTCTTGTCACTTTTGGATGCCTCTTTTGGATGCCTCTTTTGGATGCCTCTTTTGGATGCCTCTTGTCACTTTAGGATGCCTCTTTTGGATGCCTCTTTTGGATGCCTCTTTTGGATGCCTCTTTTGGATGCCTCTTTTGGATTCCAATTTTGGATGCCTCTTTTGGATGCCTCTTGTCACTTTTGGATGCCTTTTGTCACTTTTGGATGCCTATTTTGGATGCCTCTTGTCATTTTTGGATGCCCCTTGTCACTTTTGGATGCCTCTTTTGGATGCCTCTTTTGATGCCTCTTTTGCTGCCTCTTTTGGATGCCTCTTTTGGATGCCTCTTGTCACTTTTGGATGCCTCTTGTCACTTTTGGATGCCTCTTTTGGATGCCTCTTGCCACTTCTCGATGCCTCTTTTGGATGCCTCTTGTCACCTTTGGATACCTCTTGCCACTTTTGGATGCCTATTGCCACTTCTGGATGCCTCTTGCCACTTTTGGGTGCCTCTTGCCACTTCTGGATGCCTCTTTTGGATGCCTCTTGTCAATTTTGGATGCCTCTGGCCACTTTTGGATGCCTCTCGCCACTTCTGGATGCATCTTGCCACTTCTGGATGCGTCTTGCCACTTCTGGATGCCTCCTGCCACTTTTCGATTTTTGTTTGTTTGTGATTTTGCTATTCAATGCAGTTTAAAATACATTCTATTACTTTTTGCCGACTTCACAACTTGGGGCCCCTTAAACACTTTAGGTTGTCAAGAATCGCATCCAATAGCGCGACTGTTGCGAAGATAATTTCTTTGGGGAACATGGTCTCCAGGAATAAACATTTTCAAATGATCGGCAAGAAAATGACTTTTGCCGACCACACCAAGAACTTTTTGTAGAGCAGAATACCCCCGCCCTTTTTTTTCTCCACCCTGGGGCCGTAGTGTCATTGGCTAGGGTCTTGATTAGAAGTAAGACACTGTATTCTTGTAGTTGATCCCGAGACAGAAATTATTCAAGGTTATCTACTCAGCTTTGAAAATCTCACAACAAGCCAGTCAGCGTCATTGATGATGTCAGACCAATCGCTCCGCCCTTTTTATTCGATGATCGGCATAATGATAAATCTATCCATCGATCTGTGCTGAGCTGTTTTGTTGACCTACTTTTTAGTTGTTGTTGTTTTTTTTTCATCAATATCTTGATCAATATCGTGGGCTACTTTCAAATTCGTTACAACCCTCTCTTGAGGCCTCAATCAACAAAGGTCACAGTTAACAGTTGTCATTTCTTTTTTATTTTATTTTTTCTACATGTCTGAAAATATAAAAAGGGGTCAGATGTAAATAAAAAAATCCAACCTAAGTGACTTCGACATATACGAAAACTGTTCCACCGGGCCCATCACTGGGGCCCTGCAAGCCCTGCGGCTGCTGGGGGCCTCGTATATTTCAGGGGCCAAAGCTTGTGATGTGGGAACAAAAACTGAAACTATAATCTGGAATGGAGTGGGCGCGTAACCTAAAACGGTTGGGGGTGGGGGGGGGGTGGGGGGCTCCACAGCTCATGAATTGCAAAAATATGAGTAAGTAGAAATATTTAATAATTTAAATTAGTTATAGTAAAATATCGCACAGATTTATTCAGTTCCAATGCGTTTGTTTGCCCAAAATCTAGACCTAGTGATTCCACCAAGATGCAAGGAGCAGGTTCTTTGTTAGTCCTTAGCTTGGGGTGTTTTAGAGTTGAACTCCATGCTGTATCCCCTCAACCCCTTCGTGTTTCACGACGGCACTATAATAGGAAAGGGGGGGGGGGCAGGGGAGGGTGGGGGAGGGGAACTGAATGTGGCGATCTAAGCTGCGCCCCTGCATGGCAGTATAGCTTTCAGTGTGTCGCGACGGTGAGCTCCGTTTTGTTAATGAGCTATCATCACTTGAAACACTCGACGTGTAGCACAACGCACGCTCGACGAGACCTGTTAGCTAGCACAAAGTGTCTGTTTAATATGTTCCGTTGTTATTATTAGGGACTACACTCTGCACTGCTAGCTAACTTTTTCTAAAAATAGTAAATGAAATTTCAACTGCTACCTCCTGTGTTGCAGATATCCCTGGCCACTTTGGGTTTAATGTGCTGACGATGTCAACGTGACCTAACGGCCCCCAGCAGTGGGAGAGTAAAAAAATGAAAAGGGTTTGACCTAGTTTCATTGTAATAAATAAATCATTGCTTAGATCACTCTTGTGTTTGTTGTTTTTTTTAAATATATATATTGTTTAATTGCCCTAGCTCCACTTAAGCTCTGTCCCCCAAATACTTGTGTACAACAATTACCCATGCATTAACTTTACAAGAGTTATTATATTTATATATATTTAAACATATGCGGCATCCACTTCGTTCGTCAGTGACACAACTTCCGAGAGCAGAACGTATCGATCCATTGGACAGCAACTGATTAAAACAAAGAAACTCTCTAATCTCACACACAGTCTACACATTAGCGATACTCTTAACACCAGGGTGTGTAATTAGTTCAAATAGAGATATATCATGAATAAAAATGGCCAAACACCATCAACAACTAAGTCCTCACTAGCAAAAGGTGGAGGTGGAGGATAGGGCGCATTTTTCGCAGAGCCCCCAAAAAACAACATCCTATGATGTAGTGGTTCTCAACCTTCCTAAACCTCGACCCTTTAATACAGTTTCTCATGTTGTGGCGACGCCCAACCATAAAATCATTTACTTTGGTACATAATAACTATAGAGTATACGTGTTTTTCGGTAGTCTTAGGCGACCCCTGGGAAAGGGTCATTCGACCCTCAAAGGAGTCGCGACCCACAGACTGAGAATCGCTGCTATTATGGAACTCGCAGGGCAAATGGAAGATAGGGAGGCTAAAGAACACAGGAGACGCAATCTAGGGACAAACACACACAGAGTATTGGATACACGGAGATGTGAACTAGAGGGAGACACACTGTATGGCATCGGTTTTCAACCTGTGGGTCGCGACCCCTTTGGGGGGCGCACGATGGTTGAGAGCCACTGCTGTATGTGATACACGGAGGTGTGAGCTAGAGGGAGACACACACCTGGATCCGACTGGGAAGTAAAGCACACGACCGAGATGAATGAAATCCTCTAGTTGACTAGCTACGCCCCTGGCGGGTAAAAGCCTTACATGAAAAAAATATCCACGTCCCCGAAAATTTTTTAATTTTTTTGTGTATGTTCCAGTGGGTCACTAATTAAATTCAAACATCACTATGATTTATGCATTTTTAGAAACAAAATACTAAATGACAGCATATTACCTTGCAAGAGAACAAACCCGTACAGCTTGGCAAAGGCGGTGATGGGCAAACAAATCTAAGCCAATGTTGCCAGATTTTTAATCTTGAGGAAAAGAGTCAAACCAAAAATGGATAAGAGGCCAGACCAAACCAGATAAACGACCAAAATATATCCTACGGCGTCAATTTTCCGAACGCTTATTTTTCAGAGATTTCGTGTACCCAAAATGTCCTTACTTTACATTACTATTATGATTATTACAGGGATCATGTCAGGGAGCATTTGTGCACTAACACCCGCACTGAATTGCGATCATGTTGCAACACTCAGCGAACTTGTTCATAATAATAGGTATCGCAGAATGGAACGCCTGTCAATACCAAGTGACCTGAGATTTTGTTTTAACTTTGGAAAATGATTGACGGCTATGTAACGTTGGGTGTGGTTGTGCAATAAAGCACTATATGTTTATTAGGTAAAACATATTTTGGTATACGTTGAGGTGATCCGAAACACGGATAGACAGATAGAGAGATAGAGAGATAGAGAGATAGAGAGATAGAGAGATAGAGAGATAGAGAGAGATAGAGAGATAGAGAGAGAGATAGAGAGATAGAGAGAGATAGAGAGATAGAGAGATAGATAGATAGATATCGATCGATAGATAGATAGATAGATCGATAGATAGATAGATAGATAGATCGATAGATAGATAGATAGATAGATAGATAGATAGATAGATAGATAGATAGATAGATAGATAGATAGATAGATAGATAGATAGATAGATAGATAGATAGATAGATAGATAGATAGATAGATAGATAGATAGATAGATAGATAGATAGATAGATAGATAGATAGATAGATAGATAGATAGATAGATAGATAGATAGAGAGAGAAATAAGAGAGAGATAGGTGGAAATAGAGAGATTGAGGGATAGATAGAGAGAGAGATTGGTTGAAAGATATAGAGAGATAAAGAGAAAGAGCTATATTGATAGAAGGATATTAATAGAGAGAGGGAGAGAGAAGCAGTTGGTTATTACGGAATACTTAATGTTATAAAATATGTAACAGTGAAACATCATTGTGAATTTCTTTTCCTTAAACCTAATATCAAAGTTTTTACTAAAACTAAATAAGTTCAGTGGAAAGTCTCCATATCCAGATACGAATCTCATTATTATTATTACACGAAGAAGAATTTTAAAAAATGGGATAAGTTCTTTAAAAAAACAAAAAAAACTTTACCAAATGTTATAACCATAAACGTTGAATGAATGTTTGAAAGAAACGAAACGAAGATCAATGAGGGCAGCCTTGATTTCAACGTCCAAGTTAATCAAGTGGTCAGCTGATGACGATGACAGTGGGATGGGAGATGGGACTCTGGGGCTCAAGACCCACGTTGTTTGAATACGGTGCCCGTTGCAAATGTGTTTAGTTAGACAGGGAGCCCCCACCTATTAATTTAACATATAGTTGAGGTTGGATAACTAAGACAGCTTATCTTAATACAATAGAAACGTTCCCATTTCTAATTTAAAGGTCTTTTCTTTTTTTTTTTTTTTTTTTTTTTTTTATTTTTAGTTTTTTTTTTTTTTTTTTTTTTTTTTTTTTTTTGAATCCTCACGACACTAAATGGCGGAGGTGAGGCGGGCGAATAAGGGGAGGTGGGGGAGTGGTGTCACAATGAGTGAGCCCCATGGGTCTATTTTAACCAAAGCTGCAACAGCCTACTCAACAAGTTTTTTACCGTTTTCTTTTTTTTAAGCATTGGAAATTACACCGATCAAAGTTATTTCTCGTAAATATGTTTTTAAGAAATTGATTTTTTTTTAAAAACTTAGCCGGGTAATATTTTTATGTTTAAAATAAACACAAATTTAATTTTCTTTTTTTTTTTAATTAAAATTAAAAATCTGCCAGGAAAAGTCCAAAATACAAATCGAAATATTCTTGAAATTTTTTTTTTTTTTAAATTGAGGAATATGGCTTTAAAAAGGCCAATCTGGCCAGCCTTGTCTATGCGTGACGTCATCGAATTTCCAAGAAATCGCTATACCGAAAGCCAAGGAAAACAACACGAATTATAGGTCGCTGACGTCGCAGTTAACTGGTAGCTGAATCCACGGGTTGTTTTCAAGTCAACTAGACCTATATCTGGTTACACATTTCCTTGTATGCATTGAAGACAAGAGAAACAAACAAAACACCCCCCCGCCCACCCAAAAAAAAAAACACAGCAAAAAAACTACTGTCCTAGACGAGTACGTTAAAGTGTGTTGAAAGTTCCCACTGCCAGGTGTGTGGGTGTATGTGTGTGTGTAGCTCAGACAGGCCGACTTTGCGACGTCATATCATTAGACCACACATTACACATTAATTAAGGGCTAGCGGTGTGAGGACTGTAATGAAATACATGTACCCTATTTATCGGCGTATAACACGCACCGGCGTGTAACATGCACCTCATTTTAAAAAGGAAATTTCAGGAGAAAAAAACGTAACATTATATTGGAGTATAACACGCGCACATCATTTTCCCCGTATTTTCAGGGAGAACAAGTGCGTGTTATACGCCAATAAATACGGTATATATACAAAGAGAGAGAGAGAGAAAGAGCGAGAGAGAGAGAGAGAGAGAGAGAGAGAGTACTTTAAATCTGAATAATGTATGTCCTTTAAATGCACGGCACCAAAAATGCCAACATCGAATCCATTTTTAAATTGTAAAATTAAGGCAGCGACCAATGACGTCATTAAACTTAAGCAGCGACCAATGACGTCATTAAACTAAGGCAGCGACCAATTACGTCATCGAATCATTGGCAGTGAACAATAACCTCATCCAAACATGGCAGTGACCAATGACGTCATCGAACTAGGGCAGCGACCAAAGACTCATCGAACCATGTAATCGACCAATGACGTNAAAATTGAGAGGGGGGGGGGGACAAATATATATATATTCAACCTCTGC